AGCTCTTGTTTTTCAAATACCTTCACTCATAAATTAATAATTTGTATGGTTATCTTCTGCAGTAATGTGCATGGTAACCAGTTAAGCGGTTCTATTCCATTGAGCTTTCGCAACCTTGAGAGTTTGACTTACTTGTACGACAAACTCAATTTATATATATGTTTCATTATACTTGGTCAGATTTTTCTTACTTGTTTAGTAACATGTGTAAATTTGTTTGATCTCCAGAAATCTCTCTGCGAACAACTTTAAAGGGATTATACCAGTTGAGTTAGGCCGTATCATAAATCTTGATACACTGTAAGTTCATGTAAACACGAGTCTAGCTTTATGACTTTTAATATAAGCTGAATATTAATTTAAAATGCATCTTAATGTTATGTTTCAGGGATCTATCTAGCAATAATTTTTCCGGTCATGTTCCAGCATCTGTTGGTTCCCTAGAGCATCTTTTGACCCTGTAAGATAGAAGAAAGATCTAATAAGCCATGTCGTCTCTTTTCTTTATTTCTTTACTGAATTTGAGTGATGTTAAATTATATATACAGCAACCTGAGTCATAACCATCTCGATGGTCCATTGTCTGCTGAATTTGGGAATCTTAGAAGCATACAGATTATGTAAGTTTTGTAGACAATTTCTGCTTTTAAGGATTGAAATTCAACCTTCTGTAAAGTTTTCTATCCCTGATGTTTAATTGGTTCATAATGAGTTATTCTTTTTCTAGTGATATGTCCTTCAACAATCTGTCGGGTAGCATTCCTCCAGAAATTGGACAGCTGCAGAACCTTGCCTCTCTGTATGTTTAGTTATGTAGTGTTTTGAGTTTGATGCTTTTTGTTTATCACTTGCTTGTCATTGAAATGCCACTACTTTAACTGTATGGTAGGATTTTGAACAACAATGACCTTCACGGGAAGATTCCGGAACAGCTCACCAATTGTTTCAGTCTTTCTTCCATGTGAGTATTCATTTTGTAATGTTTTAAGTTTCTCTGATTAGATCCCTCCTAATGTTTTTTATGTCATCGTGTTTTAGGAATTTTTCTTATAACAACTTTACCGGAGCAGTTCCATCTAATAAGAACTTCACGCGGTTTCTGGCTGACAGGTATTGCAGAGAACTCTTGTAATTTCATGGTTAAGAACTTTTATATGTTGATGACTTTTAATGTGATGTTTTGCAGTTTCTTTGGAAACCCTTTATTATGTGGAAATTGGATAGGATCCATATGCCGTCCTTATGTCCCGAAATCAAGAGGTATGCGAAATGAATCCCATTTGCAGTGTTTATTTTAGTCGTGAATGAGTTTAAGTAAATGAATCATATTTTGTTACTTTTCTTTTCAGAAATTTTTTCTAGAGTTGCAGTTGCATGTCTCACTCTTGGTATCATCGTGTTACTGGCTATGGTGATTATTGCTATATATAGATCCATCCAATCAAAGCAGTTGTTGAAAGCATCTAACATGTCCGACCAAGGTTTGATGACTGATAGAATGCTCTACTAGGATTGGAATTTCAAAACTATCCTATTTTCTTTACTTAATTTTTGTTTTTTATATTTCTTCAGTGCCTCCCAAGCTTGTGGTTCTTCATATGGATTTGGCAATACACACTTTGGATGATATAATGAGAAGCACCGAAAATCTCAGTGAGAAATTTATCATAGGTTATGGTGCCTCTAGTACTGTATACAAGTGTGTGTTGAAAAATTCCCGACCGATTGCAGTCAAGCGATTGTACAATCAGCATCCACACAATTTAAGGGAATTCGAAACGGAACTTGTAACAATAGGCAGCATTAGGCATAGAAATCTTGTTGTCTTGCATGGCTATGCTCTTACTCCTTATGCAAATCTACTTTTTTACGAGTACATGGCAAACGGCTCTCTGTGGGATCTTCTACATGGTAATTTTGGTGTTCTTGTAACAAAATTTTTATTTTCTAGGAGTTTAGATTTGTTTATATATCGCTCTTCGATATTGCAATGCTGTTTTTTGGTGCATAAGTTGATTATTGTGACACAGGTCCGCTTAAGGTAAAACTCGATTGGGAAACACGGATGAGGATTGCTGTTGGAGCTGCTGAAGGACTTGCTTATCTTCACCATGATTGCAACCCTCGAATTGTTCACAGGGACATTAAGTCTTCAAATATTTTGCTGGATGAAAACTTTGTGGCTCACCTTTCTGATTTTGGCACTGCAAAATGCATCCCGGCCACAAAAACTCACGCCTCAACTTATGTCCTAGGAACTATAGGCTATATTGATCCTGAATATGCACGAACTTCTAGGCTGAATGAGAAATCGGATGTATATAGCTTTGGCATTGTTCTGCTAGAGCTACTCACTGGGAAGAAGGCAGTGGATAATGATTCCAATTTGCATCAATTGGTATGTACATCAAACTGTTATACATCAATCTATTATGTGGAATATATTAACTGATATTAATGATTCTATGAGATCTTTTTTGTTTATCTGTGTGTTGAATGTGAATTCAGATATTGTCCAAGGCTGACAATAACACTGTAATGGAAGCTGTGGATCCCGAGGTATCCGTTACCTGCGTTGATTTGGCTCATGTCAAGAAGACCTTTCAACTTGCTTTGCTATGCACAAAAAAGAACCCTTCTGAGAGGCCTACCATGCATGAAGTAACCAGGGTGCTTATTTCACTTCTTCCTGCACCTCCAAGTAAAGTCATTGCAGCTATGGGGAAGAGTTTCGACTATGCTCCTTTCGTGGTTGATAAGGGACAGCACCACCGAAAATTGGATGGACTGCAACCTCAGTGCGATAACAACTCTTCTAATGCTCAATGGTTTGTTCGTTTCGGCGATGCTATATCCAAGAGCTCTCTCTGACTCTTGGTGTCTTCCTGCTGTGATTCATGTTAAAGAGAAAAAGTTGATGAAGACTTTTTTTGTGTTTTGATATTTCCTTAATTATAACCTTAGAAGATAGAAAGAAAGACTCATTGTAGAAGCACTTTTTCTTAATGGTTTGAGTAAAAATATTCCTTGTTTAACTTTTTGGATAGACACTGATGTTGTGGCCAGTGATATGGTTATGGTTGCATGGTGTAACTAAGTAGTAGGCAACTCATGTCTTCAGTTATAAAATATTTATATGAAAAGTTTAAGTATTTCTTTGGAAACTGTTCCATTTCCACTTACGTGATTTTGTGAAATGTCAAAAAAGGAAGAAAATATGATAAACACATAATATTTTACTACAAAACAATAATTTCTAGTACAATCAACATTCTGCAATCTCAATAAAAACTGAAATCTTTTAATGTTTAACTCTAACAGTCTTGGTTCTTGATCTTGTGAGTTTGCTGTCTAGACTAGTTTCAGCCTAGGGCAGTACTTTCTCTTCAACAGTCCTTCAAACATATTGCTTCTGGTTACAATGGAGAAGCACCCAAAAACTTGTTTTCTTGTGATTTTCTGCATGTTTTTTTTTGATACAAAGTTGTAAAATTTGGTATTGTAATTCCTTTTCTGTAATTACCATATTCGAATGTTAATTTGAATTGTCGTTTCACGAGCAAACGGTTTATGTTCTAAGTCGGAACATAATCGTCTGATCTTAATTTGACTGTTCAAATGATGTGAATCTAAACAAAAACACAAGGCTAAGAAGTTACCTTTGGTGGATCCCATTTGTTCATTTGAGTTGCTTTTCTTCTACAGCTTCTTCTCCTGCTCATCATAATAAGCTCTCCAAGTGTCGGTTGCTTGCTCGACACACCACACACATAACCTTCATCCTCAAAATCTTTACCTTTTAGTTCCACCAAACTTGAACTTACTTTGTCAGTATAACCCACATTCTTCTCAAGAAAACCAGACTTCGGCGGAAACAAAGGAAAAAGACATTCCAAAAAAGCCGAACCAGTTAAACTCGACACACGTGTTGCATTACTACTTAAACTACCATCCGTCTCCGATGAAGCTGGAGAGACAAGACAAGATGGAGTATAGAGCAAGTCACAAGCATTCTTCGAAAACGAACTTTGCTGCATCTGGGGAATAATATCTGTATAGAGCTTAAAACATTCATCTGCATCAAAACTAAACGCTTCAAAGTCCAAACTAGTTACGCTTTCATGTTGATAATCAACATGTGAGAAACTCGGGAGTGGTGTTCCGGGTATTTCCTCCCAAACAAAAGGAACTGATGCAATTTGTTTGAGTGGAGTTTTTGGTAACTGAGAAACCGGTGAAACCATTGGTTTCCAATCTTTTATAGGAATGCCTGGTTTTGTTTCCCATATGAAAGGAACTGAAGGTGGTTCTCTAATATGTTTCTTCCTTTGTTTTTCATCCATTTTTTTGATTTATCTGAATGTGTCTGAGTTGGTTCATTTTATAGTAGTTGTAGATGTGGTGTAGTAGTGGTTTAGTGCCAACTTTTTTTTGAACTGTGCCATTTTGTTGTCGTAAAAGATTAGGCATACCTGCTCCACTTCAAGAGCATCAATTCAGGATTGTTGTTTCAGTGGAATATCATCCAAAACTGTACGACCAAAAATACTAAAAATTGTAGAAAATGAACAAAAAATTCGAATTTAAAAATATAAGCTAAATACTATATTCAAATAATTATTAAACATTCATTATTATAAATAAGAAAACTAACAATAAAAACATCTCTTTCATGTGCCAACTATTTCTTATTACAAAATTCTTTTTTTTCTTCTATAAATCATATTTAAAGTTATACAATATCTTTACCATGTTCTTAATTAGGGATGAGAATATGTCATATCAGAATTTTTTTAATAGAGAAGAAATTTTTTTTTACACCCTTGTGAAATGGAGCGTAACTATGAAAATCTCAAAATATCAATTTATTTTGAAGATACATTTCCAAACACATTAATTTTTTTTTTATTTTTAAATTTATTCGATATATACTAGATTTCTAGTAACTTGCTTTTAATTAAGATAAAAAAATTGCTGAAAGGTTTACAATCCGAAGCTCAATGCAAATAAAAAAAAGTCAACAATTAAAGGTCTAAAATTTTAAAAAATACAAAACAACAAAACTCAGAAGTTTGTAGTATCAGAAACAATTTAAAATCGAAGCACTTAACTCACCCGTCAGGAAAACGGAGGCAGAGTTTGTCGACGGCGTCACAAACACCAAAATACTCATTCAGGTTCCTTTTTTTTTTCTCTAAGAATTTTTCTCGGAAGCGATTTTCGATATAAAAAAGTGCTTCTACGTTGGTACTCTATGATCAATAATTATCTCACCATCTAGTAGGTAGATATAAATTCCAATTTCTTTTTGTTTTAATGTTGGATCTTCGTTAAACTTTGGGTCCAACTCAATTTTTTATTCATCAAGATTAAGGCTTGAAGTGGAAGTGCTTTTGTGAAAATTCAATTAATTTTAAGTGATTTTTTAGGGGAAGTAAACCTAATATTGGTCTTCTTTGTTATTCTTCTCCGTTTCGTATTCTGCCATTGTTGTTCTGTTTGTCTGCACAGGTTTTTGTTCTCCTCTTCTTGATTCCCTTTTGTTTTTGATAATATATTCTAGCTCTGTTTAGGCTTAGGGTTTGTGATTCTCTTCATGTTACTGGCTTCTTATTCTGCTTGTTATTTTGAATACTTTTAGAATTTGGATCTTGATTTTGATGGGAACAGTATTGTTAAAAAAACGTCTAGCACCGCTATACCGCTATTATGTATCGGAGTTTGGGGTAGCCAAGATGATGTGTCAACTCTGATATTTGCATTTTGCAGTATATAGGCGTTTTGATATATGGGTTATCGCGACATAATGAATATCGAGTTTGGTGTTTTAGTTGTGTCCGAATTTTTTAAACATTAAAAAATTACCAAATCAGAAGTGTTGGTCGATTTTTTAAAGAGGTGTGCTATTTAGTACGAAATGAATTACACGATGGGCAAAATGGCTATTTAAAAAAATGCATAAATGCGACTTTTGACGGAGTCATGGGATAGCGTTAGTGTAATTCTTGCAGTTCGTTTTGTTTGGCTTTCGTAACAAACAGTATTTTTCTCTTTTAAAACGTTAAAAAAGTACAAAACCAAAAGTGGTGAGCCGGTTAATGGGTATTATTGTCTATAATACCTAAAACAATAAAACCTCACTATCAGAACGTAGGTAACCACTTGTCAATTAACCGCTTTTATGTCGGTTACTGTTTAATTTATGTTCATGTAGCTTTTATTCATGTGCAACGTGCTTTATGTTATTTACAATTATTGATGTTTTGACTGCTTTGCGGCTTCTATTATTTACCTGCTATGCTATCTGCTATTTCTCATGTGGCTTCTGCCATTAACCGCTATGCTATCTGCTATTTCTCATATTGGATTTCTGGCAATCTGCAATTTTCTGCTATCCACTATAAATAACACCGGGTGAGAAATAGCAAAGTTGATTTATAATTATTAAGTATGATTGTCCCTTTAGTTTTGTGTGTGTGTGTGTTTTTCTTTCTGTTTTTGAGTATTATGTTAACTATGGGCATGGTTTTTGTATTCACGATAGTCCCTATCCAGTATAACATTTTTTGGGTTCGGGCTGAGATTAACAGCAGAGTAATGAACTGAAACCATGTCCTTAACTAACCACATAATTATGGTATCAAAGATCTACTCATGTAATGTAACTTTACTGGCTAATTATTTTTATTGGACCACTGATTGTACCTATATTTGAGTTGCTCATTTTTGGTCTTGGATTTGATGCCATGGGAAACCTTTTAATATCTAATTCCATGCCTTGACACATGATAACATATGTTACTAGTTTTACAAGTAGCTGGGCATTACATAATTGTTTCATGTTTCCTTTCATTATTTGGCAACAATGTAGTCTAGAAAATGCAACCTGGTGCAGTCGATTTGTAAACCAAAACACTATAAATTTGATATTCCCATGGCTACGCAAATTAAGTTTTGCACTCTGGGTTTTGAAATTGGTTTTGTGCCCAAATGGCATTGTATATATACTTTAGTGGTTTGTCTTGATTGCTTTGATGACATGTCTCAGAAAACACTGCTTGCAATTTCCTGAAACATTCATACATCTCCACTCCATCTTAATTCATAGAAACGGTGGTCCTATTTGGGTTGGTTTAACATTATAAGTCGATAATCAAAGGTGATCTGGGTCATATAGAAGTTCCTAGTTTTATCCCTGCTAATTATGTTTTACTAATTATGTGTGTTTTTGTTCTTGTAGTCGAGGATTCTGATTCCATGGCCTCTAAAATGGAAAGCGATAGTCCAACAAATACCCCACCGTCACCGTAAGCATAATTTTCATCTTTTTTATTTGTGCTGCCTGTTGTTGTTGTTATGTTGAATATCACATTATCATGGCCACATTTTTTTAAGGCTGTGTTTGGTATTGATAGGCCCAATAAAACGATAGTATATCGTAGAAAGGGAGCAAAGGGGCAAAGTGTGCAAGGGGGTGGGTTTGCTATCTCAATTCAACCTGAGGAGAGTAAGGGGCCAAATAGAGCAGGCCTCCAAGTTTATAAAAGAAGGAAGAAAGATGTATCAAGGGGAACAACAGAAGTTGTTGTGAGAATAAACAGTTAGAAGAGGAATAACAGAAAGGAGAAATGGCAATGGAAGAGTGTAGCATGTTAGTGGTAGTGTATAGACTGGGCCTTGAGCCCAGCCTCTGTTAGCTTAGTTGTTATAGCTGACTTATGACAGCTGGCTTTCTCTATTCTTAATAGCTTCTCTTGGAGGCTTCTAGTTAGTTGAGTGAATAGCTTATTCTACAAGCTTTAAGTTAATTAGGTTTGTAATACTTTGTATCTGCTATAAATACAAAAGTAGGATCATTGTAATTATTCACCCCATTATAATGAATTCTGAAAATCAAATTTTCTCTCACTTTCTTGCATTCTATCTTTCTAACATAGAAGGAAATATGAAATCATTTCTATATAGTTACAAGGTGTGGGTCAGAACGTGGACATGTGACAAAATTGGTTAGTGGTGGTGAGGCTTAGGCTTTGTGAAGAATGTTTTCCCTTCCTCTGTTACTCCCCACTCCTTTGTCTTCCTCAACCCTTGTATGACAAGTCACAGGTGCTCTTACTTCAAGCGTTAGTGTCCATCATATGCCCCTTTTCCTGTCAATTACTGTCCCGCTTCATCCATTTGTCTCAAAGGCTTCCATTCATGTATATTTCATACTCTTCCAGGATGCCAACTTGATAAAATAGAGACTGGCCAACCCAAAAGAGCACAGGCAAGAGCTAAATTAGGAAAGATGTGTCGACGGTAAAAAAAATGCAGAAATGAATTCCTAAAAGTGCGGCACAGTAGAGCTTTATTATATTTCTCCACTCATCAATTATCATGCGTCCCTTCTGTGGTTCATCCTCTAACTGTTTTATCTGTCTCCGATTTTTGTTTTCCCCTTGATACATCTTTCTTCCTTGTATAAACTTGGAGAGCCCCTTCTTTTGGCCCTTTATTCTCCTTGGGCTGGGCTGAGACAGCAGACAGTCCCTTTGATCACTCTGCTCCTTGTTCCCTTTAATGACCAACATACGTTATAATGGGCCTATCAGGCATTAGTTTGAAAATTTAATTTACGGTACAAAGACAAAGGGTAGAGTCATTTTATGCTAGAATAGTTATCAGTGTAAGTCATCCAGCAGAGATTGGTAATATCCAATATTGGTTATGTTCTGTTCGTGTGAAATTTGTGCCCTTTACAATGGCTTTCCGTAGAGTACAAATATTAATAAATTACCTTTTTCATTAAAAGAAGTACAATTTTGGGATTAGTTGGACCTGTTGAACTGCAATTAAGGGCTGATGGTTTCTTTTTCTTTAGGCCAAAGAATATATACAAGGATCCAGATGATGGGAGACAAAGGTTTTTGCTTGAGCTGGAATTTGTTCAATGCCTTGCTAATCCTACCTACATCCACTGTATGATTTTTTACTTTATCAATATGTCATAAGAGTTTCAGCTTTATTAGTAATATCTGTTGGTTAAATTTAAATCTGCATTGGGTAGTGTAAAAGACAGATTATCTTTGGGCAGTGGGAAGTTTATTCCTTAGGGACCTGGTAATAGTTAATGCTGTAACATTTAATATTCTATCTTGTGATCTCTATATAAATCACTTCGTATTCATATTAAAAGTTAGTTGAACATTTTATAAAAGAAAGCAAGTTTAAGTCCACTCCCATTTTCTCCTCAAATTGGTATCAGAGCGCATGGCAAATATGATGGGTCAAATGCCACTGCTACGACTATCAAAGTCGAATTATGAGAACTGGAGTATCCAGATGAAGGCGCTTCTGGGATCGTTAGATGTATGGGAAGTAATTAACGATGGGTTTGAAGAACCATCAAATACAACGACAAACACAGCTGCTCAGAACAAGGCGTTGAAAGAAACACGAGCAAAAGATAAAACAACATTGTACATGCTGTTCAGAGCAGTCGACAAATCAGTTTTCGAAAAGATTGTTGGTTCGATTACGTCGAAGGAAGCGTGGGACACGCTAGAAAAGGCTTTCAAAGGAGCATATAGAGTCAAGCAAGTTCGCTTGCAGACTCTTCGAGGAGAAATGGAGAGAATGAAGATGAAGGAGACAGAGTCCGTGTCGGACTACATCACTCGTGTGCAGACGGTGGAAAATCAACTCAATCGAAATGGAGAAGCAATGACTGATGCTCGTATTGTCGAAAAGATTCTGAGATTTTTGACAGATAAGTTCAAAATATAGTATGCGCAATAAAAGAGGCGAAGGATCTTTCGACAATCACTGTCGAAGAAGTCGCTGATTCACTTGAGGCACATGAACAACGCAAAATAAATAAGAAGGAGGAGACACTTGAGGATGCAGAACCCAACAGAGACGAAAAAACACTTTTCTCTCAAAATTGGCGTGGGAGAGGACATGGCCGTGGAGGACGTAATGATGGTCGAAGTTACCAAAATAACAACTTCGACAGAGGACAGTCAAGCCAACAAAACTGGCGTGGCAGAGGACGTGGCCAGAAAGGTGGTAGGTCGAATTACAACAATATCGAATGTTACAAATGTAACAAACAGGGACACTATCGAATGTAACAATATCAAATGTAACAAAATCCCTTTAAAATTTTTGCGCGTTTTGTAAAATTGTTTTTATCAGAGAGCGACAACCCTGAATCTGATCGTCTAAATTTTACGTATTGGAAATATCGGATATGCGAACCAATTTGATGAAAATGATGAGAGTAGAATCACAATTAAAAATGAATATGATGAATAAATCCCTTTAAATTTTTTGCGCGTTTTGTAAAATTGTTTTTATCAGAGAGCGACAACCCTGAATCTGATCGTCTAAACTTTACGTATTGGAAAGATCGGATATGCGAACCAATTTGATGAAAATGATGAGAGTAGAATCACAATTAAAAATGAATATGATGAATCACTTTAGGAAGTTTAACAAGGTGTAAGTTATTACCAATTAGTTGCGGAGAAGATAAAGCAAATTTGTGAGTTGTAAACTCACCGAACACTTGGTGTACGTACTACACAAGGTTTGGTTATACTCAAATTGTAGTGATTATAGCGATTCGAATGAATGCTATGAGTTTTAAATTTTAGTTTATCACTACAATTATTTTATATGAATGAGAAAATTGATAACTCACAAATTTAAGCAAATAGAAATCAAATACAGAAAACTAAAATGGACACGGTATTTGTTAAGGCAGTTCACCCTGTCGTCCTCGCGTGGGCTACTCTGCCCCCAATTCTAGAATCTAGAATTAGGATATGAAATTAATTTTGCAAAGTTTATAAGAGAAGATACAATCACCACAATTCAAAGTCACTTGATGAATCTTATATGTTGCACTCCTCTTCCCTTGATTCCAGATGAATCAAGTATGCCAAATCTTGAACAAAAACTCCTTCTACCTTGAATGATTTTGTACTCAAGAAAATTGGTCCCAAATCCTTCTTCACAATCCTCCGGTTACCGCTATCCGATTGAACACTCCACGGTCTTCCAATCCCTTAGCTCGGCTGAATTCAATGAAGCAAAGATTTGTGATAAAACCCCCCAATTTTAGAGGACAAAACTCCAATGGTTTTATTCAAGAAAAAACCCACAAAGATCTCTACCCAAATCTGAAATTGCACTTTCAATTCGAACGTTATCAACACAATCCCAAGAACTTGATCAACAAAAATGATTGTGTGTAGTTGTTGATAATTGATGAGAGGTTGAAGATGAAGAGAACTCTTGTGTATATCTTTCACTTTCTCTTGTTCTTGTGTAAAACAGAGGCTAAAACAATATTTATAAGTCATTCCCATGATGTAACAGCATAGCAGAAAAATGAGACAATTTAGCGATGCGTCGACTTATGCAGGGTATACAGAAGGCGTGCGCCTTCCCGAGCGAGAGAGGTTGAAATTCCTTCAGTTATGCGCCGACTCATTGTTTGATGCGCCGACTCATGTTTTTCCAGAACTATGCGTCGACGCATAGAGGAGGCGTGCGCCTTCCCGGACATTTCCAACCCAAAATCTTCTTCTCATGAGCCGACCTAAGGTTCCATGAGCTGGCTCATGCAGTCTGTTTTGAGATAAATGCTTGTTTTTAATGTTTCTCACTTGCACCTGTTTGAAGCAAGACAAATTTGCACAGATAGGTTTTTGACAATCATTAAAACTCAGTTCTTTCACTTTTGCCCTCACACTATGTACCAAACCTCAAAGCAAATATTTTGAGTCTGGGACAACTCACAGAAAAGGGCTATTCTATACTCATGGAAGATCGAAGTTTGCACTTAAAAGACAAGTCAAGACGTCTGGTTGCTCAAGTCGAAATGGAGAGAAATCGAATGTACAAGTTGAATTTGAGAAGCATTCGAGAAAAGTGTTTGCAAGTCAATGTCGAAGACCAAGCATCCCTGTGGCATCTACGTTTTAGTCATCTACATCAGGCTGGACTAAGGAGGTTACCAAAGAAAAATATGGTGCATGGACTGCCAGACGTAGAATTCGAAGGAAAGTTCTGTGAAGAATGTGTGTTTGGCAAACAGACGAGAACCTCATTTCAAAGGAAGGCAGAATATCAGGCTAAACAAATTCTAGAATTGATTCACACCGACATATGTGGACCAATTACCCCAGAATCCTTCAGTGGCAAAAGGTACTTTATATCCTTTATTGTGATTTCTCAAGGAAAACTTGGGTGTATTTTCTGAAAGAAAAGTCAGAAGCCTTCGAAGTATTCAAGAAGTTTAAGATAATGGTGGAGAAAGCAACAGACAGGCACATCAAAGCTCTTCGATCAGACAGAGGTGGGGAGTAAACTTCGACAGTCTTTATGAAGTACTGTGAAGAGCAAGGCATAAGGAGATTTCTGACTGCATCATACTCACCTCAACAAAATGGTGTGGCGGAAAGAAAGAATCGAACAGTCCTCGACATGGTTCGATCAATGTTTAAGAGCAAGAACATGTCGAAGGAATTTTGGGCAGAAGCTGTACAATGTGCAATCTACGTTCAGAATAAATGTCCACATTCGAAGTTGGGAGATTTAACACCTCAAGAAGC